AATCTCTGCAGCCTAATTCTCCAGAGTCTCAGCTCAGATTATAACTTCTTGTGATGCTCACTGCCCCAAACAGAAAATCAAGCTTCAGAATCCCTATAGAACTAAATTTTTGTGTTTGTGTTAGGCCATTTCACCTTCACATTTTATTAGAATTCATTTTCTTTATGCCTTCAGGTCCCTTCCTAGCTGCAAGCTAGTTTGAAGGTGAGGATAACATCCTATTTCATTTCTTCCCTTTTCATAGCGGGCCTTCAATAGCTCTTAACTGAAGGAATGAATAAGCTGAGTGAGTTGTAAGTGCAAATCCTGAGTGCTGTTTATTACCAGTGGTGACCACTTATTTTTAAATGGCTATAAACTGGGTGTGGGAAATGAAATACATACCCTTCTCTCCTCTCAGCCTGTCATTTTCATTGCCTGATATGTAAGCCAAGGACATCTGAGGTGAAAGTCTGAGCTCTGTTGTTTCCATTTTCGGTTTATTTGTTTTTTGCCTTCTCTCTGCCACCCCCTCTCTTTCCATCACTGTAAGAAAGGGATCAGCTCTGAATCTTAGTTTCCCAGCTTCAGCTGCCGGTGGGTCTGTGGAAACAGTAGCTGTTAAAAGTGAATACTTTTCTGTCTTTTGAGAAACTCTAAATTGGCAGTTCTCTAACTTTTTGGTCTCAGGACCCCTTGCCACTGTTAAAAGTGATTAAGAATCCCAAAAAGCTACATTCACACAGATTTTATCTATCAGTGGCTTTGTGTTTTTATTTTCTTTCTTTTTTCTTTTTTTGAAATGGAATCTCACTCTGTCACCCAGGCTGGAGTGCAATGGCATGATCTCAGCTCACTGCAACCTCTGCCTCCCCGGTTCAAACGATTTTCCTGTCTCAGCCTTCTGAGTGGCTGGGATTACAGGCAAGCGCTACCATGCCTGGCTAATTTTTGTATTTTTAGTAGAGAGGGGTTCACCATGTTGGTCAGGCTGGTCTTGAACTCCTGATCTTGTGATTCACCTGCCTCAGCCTCTCAAAGTGTTGGGATTACAGGCGTGAGCCACTGCGCCCAACCTGTGTTTGTTTTAAGAATCTCTTTAATAGCTTAAAGAAGACAGCCAGATTTTCAGGTCTGCTCCGTTTTCATTCATTCTATCTTGGTATCACATTATGTAGTCTCTGGAAAAATCTACTGTACACTCCTGAAAGAATAAAATGGCAAATGATGCCTAACATTATAACATTCATAGTTTTGATCTGTCAGACTCTCTAAGAGGGTCTCGGGGACCTCAGGACTTCTTGGACCATGTTCTGAGAACTGCTAGATTAATTTGAAGAAATTGTGATATCTGTGGCTTGAGTGAGTATAATGGGGAAGGGAAGATGCCTTTAAATAAGAAAGAAGGGAAAATTTTCTTTGCTGGAAAGAGACCTGTACCCTCTGGGTGGCTCCTTCTAGGAAGCAGTCAGTGCTTCATGGAGTATGGTCATGAGGTTCATCTAAGAAGGCTGAGTTGGGGTTGGTTATCAACCTTGGTGAAATCCCCCAGGCCGTAACTAAGGCCTCAAATCTCAGCAGTGTCAGGTTCCAGGAGGCAGGCTGGCTTTGGTGCAGGGGCATCTCACTTGGGACCAACGTTGACTAGAAGGGCCTCTTCAAGTGTGCTCAAAATTTAAGTTTTCAGGAAGCAGAGTAGGACCTCCCAGAAAGTTTTGAAACTTCTGAAGTCAATTTTGGTTGGATAGGAGGGGTGTACTACTGGCATTGAGCCACTTAGCTCTGTCTGTGCACCGAAGATGCTAAACATCTCTAATGCACAGATTAGTCAGATTAATGCACCTCAGATTTTCAGTGGCCCCAGACATTTATGAGAATAAAAAGCTTGCTTCTAATTTTTCTAATTTGGACTCTAATTCTGTATAAGAAATGAAGAAAAGCATTTTTTGGCATAATTTTTATATGCCCTAAATTTTTCAGAAATAAATCATGATGCAAATAATGGGAAATTCTACTTTGTTTTGTTTGGAATTTTATCCAAGTTTTTTTTTTTTTTTTTTTACCATTTTAGAAAATAACATTAAGGCAGCAATACTTACGGTATTTGAGTCTTCACTACTACACACTTGGATTCGTCTGCCTTTACAGCTATGGCATTATATGTACAGATACCCCTCATTTCATGATATCTTCAATTTAATCATACTTGATTATTTGCAGATTTATATACCTTTATTTTTATTAGACATTTATGTTTTATTTGTATTATTGTTTAACATCTTGATGGTTTTAAATATTTCATGTCTAAATAGGTCATGTGATATGTGAATTTTATTTCAATGTTGAAGGAAACATTAAAATAAATTTGGTACAAAAAGGAGTGGTATTGGGAAGCTGAGATGGGTGGATCACCTGAGGTCAGGAGTTTGAGACCAGCCTGACCAACATGGAGAAACTCCGTCTCTACTAAAATTACAAAATTATCTGGGTGTAATCCCAGCTACTTGGGAAGGTGAGGCAGAATTGCTTGAACCCAAAGCCAGAGGTTGCAAATGAGCTGAGATTGTGCCATTCCAGTCTGGGCATCAAGAGTGAAATGCTGTTTCCCAAAAAAAAAGAAAAATGGAAAAGAAGAAGAGTGAATCTGAATCTGATAGAGAACCCTAGAAGGAGAAAAATAGGAGACTGTGGAGGGAACACTAGAAGCTTCATATGACCTTAGGTGAAGGCAGGATGTGAGTGAGAGAGAGCATCAATAATAACTTCAGTAGATACAACATTGGTTTATTCATGTTTTCATTTTAAAAATACATCATACTGAAAGAACGTAACAAAAAAAGAAAACTACAGACTAATATCCCTGATGAATACAGATGCAAAATCCTTAACAAATACTAGCTAACTGAATCCAACAGCATATCAAAAAGATAATCCACCATGCTCAGGTGGGTTTCATATCTTGGATGCAGGGATGGTTTGACATACACAAGCCAATCAATGTAATAAACCACATAAACAGAATTAAAAACTAAAATCCCATGATCATCTCAGTAGACACAGAAAAAGTATTTGAGAAAATCCATTCTCTCTCTATGATTGAAACCCTCAGCAAAATTGGCATAGAAGGGACATACCTTAATGTAATAAAAGCCATCTGTGAAAAACCCACAACCAACATAATACTGAACGGGGAAACGTTGAAAGCATTCCCCCTCAGAACTGGGACAAGACAAGAATCCTCATTCCCATCACTTCTGTTCAACATAGTACTGGAAGTCCTAGCCAGGACAGTCAGACAAGAGAAAGAAAGAAAGGGAATCCAACCAGTAAAGATGAAGTCAAACTGTCACTGCTTGTTGATGTGATCATAATACCTAGAAAACCCTAAAGGATCCCTCCGAAATCTCCTAGAACTGATAAATGATTTCAGCAGGTTTCATGATGCAAAATTAATATACACAAATCAGTAGCTCTCCTATACACCAAAAACGACCAAGCTGAGAATCAAATCAAGAGCTCAACCCCCTTTACCATAGCTGCAAAAAAATTAAAATACTTAGGAATATACCTAGCCAGGAGGTGAAAGAACTCTGCAAGGAAAACTACAGCACACTTTTGAAAGAAATTATAGATGACACAAACAAATGGAAATACATTCCATGCTCATGGATGAGTAGAATCAATATTGTGAAAATGACCATACTGCCAAAAGCAATCTACAAATAATTCAGTGCAATTCACATCAAAATACCACCATTATGCTTCACAGAACTAGAAAAAAAATCCTAAAATTCATATGGCACCATAAAAGAGCCCAGGTAGCAAAAGCAAGAGTAAGCAAAAAGAACAAATCCTGAAGACTGTAAATTAATTACAGAACACTACTGTTTTGCATTTATATTTTGTATATTTAGCTAATTTAAGCATAAGCTATAATTATGCTTAAATTAACTGCATCTAAAAATCATTCATAACAGCTAAAAAATAGAAACAGTCCAAATATCCATCAACTGATGAATGAATAGAAAAATGTGGTACATCAATACAATGGAATGCTAATAAAAAGAAATTAATTACGGATGCATGCTACAACGTGGATGAATTTTAAGTATTATGCTACGTGAAGGAAACTAGTCACAAAAGAGCACATAGTTTATGATTACATTTATATGAAATACCCAAAATAGAGACCAAGAGTAGATTAGCAGTTGCCTAAGGCTGAGGAAGAGGGTGTAGAGTGACGACAGCTAATGTGGGATTTCTTTTGGGCATGATGAACATAGCTTCTGATGATGGTTGTGTACCTCTGCGAATTATATTTTAATAAAATGGCTTTAAAAATTAACCACATCTAAAAAATTGCATCTTGGATTTGGAAACTGTGTGGCACTGAGGTGTGGTGTGTAGGAAGGAGCCTGTGGGCAGAACAGTTTGGGTTCTGCTGGCGGCCTTTCTACTCTATTCAGGGCGGCCAGGTCCCAGGGTAAGATGACAGCAGTTAGGTCTTGTTGGGAAGAAAACATGGCTACCAACCCTGGACCATTTTGCCATCCCTGAATAAATGAGATAGTTGTTTGCCTGCTTTTGCGGAGGGTGCCTGTGGTTTGCACAGGACGAGGTGGCAGCTGGCTTGCCTGCTGGCCTGCTTGGTGGAGATAAGAGGCTCAGACCCACTGCTGCTATTCAGGCATCATGGAAGTAATGAATGCACTTCCCTCTGTCACCTGATCTCATTCTCTGGGGCTGAGCATGTATTCTTTTCCTTTCTTCATCTCAATTGAGCTTTTAAATTAAATATGTGTTGCTTAAGCTATTCAAAAGGTAGCTGCCTCCATGAGGCACACACCTTTCACCCACCCCTACACCGTGGCCTTGTAGGACAGTCCCCCCTTGGCTGTGCCGAGCCCATCTGGAGTGTTTCTGGTTCTAATCAGAAGTGGAACAGTTTCAGGGCAGCTTATGGGTTTATGTTAGTGAGGAACTTGGGTGGAGATGGTGACACAGCTTGTTCTCTCCTCCTAGGCTCTTAGTGCATCCAGGATCCTGGCCACTCTCGCCCCAAGCCCTGACTTGGCTGAGCTGTCACTGCTGCATGTCCCAGGCTGCCGGCCTGCCTGTCCTCTGCAGTGCACAGGTATGCATGTGGGCGCATATGCACATGCACCACACACATACCATGCCCACCTCACACCACACACATACCACATACACACTATACACAAAACACATATCATACACACACCTCACACACTACATAACACTTATAAACCATGCCCACTTCACACACCCCACACATTTAACCCATAGACACCACACACATCATTCCCACCTCACACACACACCCCATACTCATATCATACCCACCTCATATACCCCATACATGCCACACACAGCACACATACACATCCCACACACCACATAGATACCATGCCCACCTCACACACACCATATGCATATCATACCCACCTCATACACCACACATGTATCATACCCACTTCACACACATACCCCATACACATCACACACACACACACACCTCACATACTACATATATACTCTGCCTACCTCATACATACCACACACTTAATCCATAGACATCACACACAGCATTCATACCATGCCCACCTCACACACTACACACACATTTTATCCCCCTCACACCACATCTATACCATGCCCACCTCACATACTACACCCCCTCACACCACATCTATACCATGCCCCCCTCACACACCCCACACACTTAACCATATTACAACACACAACACACAGGTCATATCCACACCACACACATATTACACCCACCTCACACACATATCCCATACACAGCACATCCATATCAAACCCACCTCTCACACACCATACACATAACAACCACCTCACATCAGGCACCACATATACAGCATGCCCACCTCACACACCCCACACATTTAACCCATATGCACCACACATACATCCTTCCCACCTCACACACATATCCCATACATGCCACACACAACACACATACCCACCTTGCACACCACATATATACCATGCCCACCATCACACACACCACACTTAGCCATATATAGCACACACACCACACACACATCATACCCACCTCACACACACCACACACAACCCATATACGCTACACACACCACACCCATGTCATACCCACATCACATCTACTACACACCCATGTCATACTCACCTCTCACACACCACAGGCTTAACCCATATATACTACATACACACTACACACGTATCATACCTCACACACACACACCCCACACACCCTATATACAACACACAGGCACCACACACATATACCCACCTCACACACCACACACCATATATATGCCATGCCCACATCACATACACCACACACTTAACCCATGTACACTGCACATATCATACCCACCTCACACACACCACACATGTATCATACCCACCTCACAGAACACACATACCATACACACCTCACACACACCACACACATATTATACCCACTTCACACACATACCCCGTACACACCACATGCATATTATAACCTCCTCATACACACCACATATATACCATGCCCACCTCAAACACACCATGCACTTAACCCATATACACTACAGACACCACACACTTCACACCACATATACACCATGCCCACCTCACACACCGCAAGCACTGAACCCATATACACCACACTCACCACACACATACCCCATTCACACCACATGCATATAACCCTCACACACACCACGTATATACCATGCCCACCTCATGCACACCATGCACTGAACCCATATACACCACACTCACCACACACACATTAAACCCACGTCACAGACACCACATACACCCCCTATACACCACACACATATTATGTCCACCTTACAAAGATTGCACACATACTTCATACACATCATGCACTCTTCACACATACCACACACCACACGTATACCACATACCACACACACCTTATATACACAACACACATACCACACTCACCACATAATACATATATCATATGCATTTCATACATACCACACACCCCATACATACCACACACACACAGACACTTCATAAATACCGCATAAACAGCACACCACATTCCACATACATATTCCATCACCCATACAGCACACCACATTCCACATACATAGTCCATCACCCATACACCACAACACATTCCACACAGACAACTTATTCACACTACACAGATACCACACACACCACACAGTATCAGACATACATACACCGTACACACCTCGTGTATACCACACACACCCCATACACACCACATATACTACACACACCTCATACAACCACAGTTACACCCCATACATACCACACCACAAACACTACACCATGCACATAAAACAAACACACACTCAACCCTTCCACATTACATCATACTCCACACATATATCACATTCACATCACACACACCACATGCCACACACCATACACAGTACACTCCACGCACTCACCACACCCTCCAGGATGCCCCGCCACCATACACACACACACACACACATAGCACACACTCCCTACTCACCACACCCCACACACTCTATCTCACGCACACACCACACACCCCGGCCACACACATTTGCATGCAAACTACTCGTTTTGCATTCAAACTACTCAAATGAAAATGAACTATTTAGTTTTTCCCCAATTAATACTGCCCATCTGTGCACCCTGGCTGTGCTGGCTGGCACATCCCCTGGTCTGGCCTCCCTTGGGTCAGCACCCCCTCCTGTGTTTCAGGTGCCCTGTGGAGTGCTCATGTCTGGATCTCGTGCAGGGCTGGTCCCTCTGCCCCAATGGCTGTTTTCCTGAATGAAACTGGTCTGTTTGCCACCTCTCCTGATGCCCAGAGCAGCGGCTAGTGCAGGAAGTCCCAATTCCTTCCCTTGGTGTCTGCCGTTCCCCAGGGGACATTTTGTCCCAGTTCTCCCCAGCTAGAAGAGAGACCCTCAAAGGCACGCAGGTCAGTTTGGTTATAATGCTGGTGAACAATCAATGCATTTTGGTAAAACACTCAACCAGTACATACATCTTTAGTAAAGTAAAATGTGCACAGCCCCTCTGCTCCCACCTCTCCCACTCCCCTCCCCAGAGGGCATGACTGACAAGCCATTGGGGGCTCCCCCTTTCTGTGTGCCTTTATCTGTGTGTGGGCTGGGGAGTGTGTGTGTATTCTCTAGCCATCTTGACGGACCTGGAACTGGGATCTACACACATGCGCTCGCTGTAGCTTACTTGCCATTTTCCCTCCAAAATAGGATCCCTCACTTTAAGATCCCTCACTTTAAGATCCCTCACTGTAGTGCACGTTGCCCTGCCTCTTTGAAAACGCCATCGACTCTTACAGCGCGCAAATTCTGCCATCATTTATTTAACCATTTTTTTATTTATGGGTACTTAGGTCGTTTCCTGTTTTTTAAAAGAATGCTGCAGTGAAAATCTTCAGCTGTCATTTTTCACATTGCTGTGGGGAAATGTGGTGGGAGGTGCCCTGGGGGTGAGTGACCCCATGTGTGGCCAGGCTTTGTGAGGTTTTGACTCTGTCCTTCCCAATGTTCCTCCTACAGTGGCTGCCCCTTGGTGATGATGGCTGCGTGAGTGCCCGCCATGGCCCACCGGAAGTGTGAGAGCGCAGGGAGCAGCATGTTGGACCACAGGGTGAGGCCAGGCCCTGTCTCCTATGGCCAGGAGCGAGGATGTGGTGCTGTCCTAGGAGGGCTGTGTGCCCGAGGCCTGGGAGCTGGCTGCCCTGTGGCCAGAGAACCCCATGCCCGAGGAGCAGGAGTGCCACTACCACAGCCCCAGTGGGACTCCAGCTCCAACTAGTGAATAACATCTCTGAGGAGGAGGACTACCCGAGGAAGAGGACATCACCTACTATATCCACTACTTCCCCGAGGATGACAGCTACCTGGAGGGCATGGACTACAACTGGGAGGAGTACCTGTCCCACGGTGTGTACCCTGTGGACACCAATGAGTACCAGGAGGCTGTGGAGGAATGGGCGGAGGGTGGACTCAGTGGGCCTGCACCCTTACAGCCACAGGGCTGAGGGAAGCCAGGATTACCCAGACAAACACCTGCCCATCCTGGAGGATGAGCCCTCTGTCTTGGAGGCCCATGACCAGGAAGAAGATGGCTACTACTGTCACAGCAAAAAGGGCTACCAGGACTGCTACCCCATGGAGGCCAATGGGAACACAAGTGCCTCTCCCTACCACCTGAGGTATGGGGAGGGGGACCTGGAGGACCAGGAGAAGGACATCAACCCAATCAGGAGCCTGAGAATGACCAACATCACTAGCGTTAGTGAGGCCAGCATGGGCCTGAGCCGGGACCTGGGGACTCTGCCCAGCAAAAGCAGCTGCAGCCCCAGCAGGCACAAAATGAGACCCAAGTCACTGAACCTCCCTCCTGAGGCCAAGCACCATGGAGACCCACAGAGAGGCTTCAAGCCCAAGATCAGGACCCTAGAGGAGAGGCCGAAGTGACCCCACAAGCAGGTAGGACTCTGGCTGTCTCAGGAAAGGGAGCAGAGGGGCCCAAGAGCAAGAAATGTCCCAGTACAGCCCCATAGATGCTGAACTGAGGCAGTAGGAGGGGTTGCGTGCCTTGCAGTTCTTTTTTGTTGTTTTTGTTTTTTGTTTGTTTCTGCCTTGCAGTTCTAATGATGGCTGAGCTCTTCATTGGTCCAGTTGCCAGGCATGATGTGTGGATCTCTGGCCACTCTTAGGTTCACCCCTCAGACTCAGGAGTAAAGTCTTGTTGAGGGCTGATTGGTGACTAGATTTTGGCAGAAGATGCCCCTCCTCCCACCTAGAAGTGGATCAATATCTCCCTCACTGCCCTGTGTCTGCTCATGGTTGGGCAGTGTCTGTGGGAGAGCCCCTCAATCCTCAGGGGTGTACTTGTTCCAGTGGGGCAGTGGCAAAGATGTGGCCAGTGGTGGGTGGCCTGGTGGCTGGGGTGGGGCCTGGAGTGTATCTCACAGTGGACATGTCTCTGAAAGCCTGGGGGCCTTTGCCTGATGGGCAGTTAGCTGTGAATAACTATTTTGAAAAGGATCCCGTAGATCTTACTTTGCAGGATTGTTACATAGGTATACACATGCCATGGTGGTTTGCTGCCTCCATCCCCCTGTCACCAACATTAGGTATTTCTCCTAATGAGAATGATGGTTTCCAGCTTCATCCACGTCCTTGCAAAGAACATGAACTCATTCTCTTTTATGGCTGCGTAGTATTCCATGGTGTATATGTGCCACATTTTCTTTATCCACTCTATCTTTGATGGGCATTTGGGTTGGTTCCAAGTCTCTGCTACTGTAAACAGGGCCACAATAAACATATATGTGCATGAGTCTTTATAATAGGCCAATTTATAATCCTTTGGGTATATACCCAGTATTGGGATTGCTGGGTCAAATATACAAGAAAAAACCAATCCCATCATAAAAGTGGATGGAAGATATGAACAGACACTTTTCAAAAGAAGACATTTATGAGGCCAGCAAACATATGAAAAAATGCTCCTCAGCACTGGTCATTAGAGAAATGCAAATTAAAACCACACTGAGTTACCATGTCATACCAGTTAGAATGGCAATCATTAAAAAAATCTAGAGACAACGGATGCTGGAGAGGATGCGGAGAAATAGCAACACTTTCACACTGTTGGGAGTGTAAATTAGTTCAACCATTGTGGAAGACAGTGTGGTGATTCCTCAAGGATCTAGAAATTGAAATATATATATAATTCTTCAATATACATAGTCAAAATCTTAGAATGTAGAATATAATTCTTTAATATACATAATCTATATATTAGAATATATTTATAAATATCAGACATAAGACATGCAAATATTTTCTTTTATTCTGTGGATTGCCTTTCCACTCTTTTGAACATATTCTTGATGCAAAAGAGTTTTAAATTTCAAGTAAGTGCAATTTATCTACTTTCAATTTAGTTGCCTGTGTTTTTGGTGTTTCATCTAAGAAAGCATTGCCAAATCCAGTATTACAAAACTTTTTATTTGTTTTCCTCTAAGATTTTTGTACTGTTAGCTACTGCATTTAGCTCTTTGATCCAATTTGAGTTAATTTTTTGTATATGGTGTAAGGTGAGCATCCAACTTATTCTTTGGCATATAGATATCCAGTTTATGCAGGATCACTTTTATTCAAAAGACTGCTTGGTCTGTGTGTTTTTGTTCCCCTAAAGTTTATATGTTAAACACTAACCCCCTTGATAATTGTATTAAGAAGTGGAACCTTGGAGAGGTGATTAGTTAGGTCATAAAATTTGATCCTCATAAATGGGATTAGTTCCTTTATAAAAGAGGCTGAGGCCAGGGGCAGTGGCTCACTCCTGTAATTCCAGCATTTTGGGAGGCCAAGGTGGGTGGATCACCTGAGGTCAGGAGTTTGAGACCAGCCTGGCCAACATGGCGAAATCACATCTCTACTAAAAATGCAAATTAACCAGGCTTGGTGATGTGTGCCTGTAATGCCAGCTTCTCTGGACCCTGAGGCAGGAGAATTGCTTAGAAACTGGGAGGCAGAGGTTGCAGTGAACTGGGATAACACGACTGCACTCCATCCTGGGTGACAAGGAGACTGTCTTAAAAAAAAAAAAAATGGCCAGGCGCGGTGGCTCAAGCCTTTAATCCCAGCACTTTGGGAGGCCGAGGCGGATGGATCACGAGGTCAAAAGATGGAGACCATCCTGGTCAACATGGTGAAACTCTGTCTCTTAAAAATACAAAAAATTAGCTGGGCATGGTGGTGCGTGCCTGTAATCCCAGCTACTCAGGAGGCTGAGGCAGCAGAATTGCCTGAACCCAGGAGGCGGAGGTTGCGGTGAGCCGAGATCGGGCCATTGCACTCCAGCCTGGGTTAGAAGAGCTAAAAACTCTGTCTCAAAAAAAAAAAAAAAAAAGCGTAAAGAAGCCTGTTTACCCATTCTGCCATGTGAGAACACAACACATAGAAGGTGCCATCGATGAGGAACAGGCCCTCATCAGACACTGAGTGTGCTGGCGTCTCGATCTTGTACTCCTCAGGCTCCAGAACTGTGAGCAATAAATCATGTTGTTTACAAATTGCCCAGTCCAAGTTATTTTGTTATAGATGCCCAAATAGTTTAATACACAGTCCTTTCCTCATTGAATGTTAGTGCCTGTGTCAAAAATCAATTGATTATAAACATGATGATTTATTTTTGGAGTCTCTACTCTGTTCCATTGGTATATGTGTGTGTTTTCATGCCAGAACCACACCAATGTGATTATTGTAGCTTTGCAGTAAAATTTGAAATCAGAAAATGTGAGGCATACAACTTTGTTCTTCTTTATCAAGATTATTTTAGCTATTCAGGGTCCCTTGAATTTCATATAAACTTTTTATATTTTTTCTACTTCTGGAAAAAACACTTGGGATTTGGATAGGGATGAACACTTTGGGTTGTACTGACAGCTTGACAATATGACCTTTTCCAATTCATGAGCAAAGTTGTCTTTCCATTTATATCTTCTTTAATTTGTATCAGCAATGTTTTCTAGTGTTCAATGTATTAGTCTTTACCTCCTTGATTGTATTTATTATAAATGCTTTATTATTTTCAATAAAATTATTTTCTTGCTTTCTTTTTCAGATTCTTTAATGGTAGAGTGCAGAAATGATTTTTTTTTTCAGTTCCTGAGGTAGCCATCCTGGCAATTGATTTTTATGTGGCAGTTCTTTTTTATCCTGCTACTTTGTTTAATTTATCTGTTAGTTATAACAAGTATTATGGGGCAGAATCTTACACAGTAGGAAATAACACTGGGTAGAATTGTGAGGCTCCCGATCCAGGCCCTAACTCTTTTGGCCCAGGGCATGTCTAACTCTGTATTCCTAGACACGCCCTGGGCCAAAAGGGAACCTGCTGCCTTGAAGGAAAGGCCCTATCCTGGCAGGATTTATCTCCTGCTGACTAAGAGCCCTAGGTCCAGTACAACCAGCAGTTATACCTAGGTAGTAAACTATGGGTGGTGGGCTCCTAGACATGCTGGCTTCAGGGGTAACCCAGTATATTTGCAGCTGTGATGGCTATGGCTAAAGACCCCTGATGTTTGAGAAAAGCAGAGGGAAAATTAAAGGGAACTTCATCTTGCACCTTAGGTGCCAGCTTGGCCACAGGGTGGCAGAGCAAAAAGCAGGCTCTTGGGGTCCCTGAGACTAGGCCTAGGCTCTTGGACAGCATTTCTGGATGTGCTTTGGGCCAGGGGACCCTCTTCCCATGTGTCAGGGGAGGGACCTGGTAAAAGGTGATTAGATCATGGCAGCAGATTTCCCCCATACTGTTCTTATGATAGTGAGTGCGTTTTCATGAGATCTGATAGTTTAAAAGTGTGGCACTTTCCTCATCATTCTCTTTCTCTGTTGCCACCATGTAAGATGTCCCTTGCTTCCCCTTTGCTTTCCACCATGATTGTAAGATTCCCATGGCCTGCTCAGGCCATTTGGAACTGTGAGTCAATTAAGCCTCTTTTCTTTATAAATTATGCAGTATCAGGTAGTTCTTTATAGCAGTGTGAAAATGAACTAATACACCAGGCACAGTAAGACAAACTTCACATTTTCTCATTTATTTGTGAGATCTATAAATCACAACAGTGAACTAATAGAGAAGAAGAGCAGAAAGATGGTTATCAGAGGCTGGCAAGGGTAGTAGAGGGTGAAGGGGGTGGGGGATGGTTAATGAATAACAAGAAATAGAAAGAATGTAGAAGACTGGCCGTTTACTTTTACTTGGTTTTCTTGACTGGTCATTTACTTGGTTACCGAAGACATGGTCTATTTTTCAGAATTCCTCTCAAGTTATTTTAGCCAGTTTCAGTTTTTTTGCTTGTTTGTTTGTCTTTTAATAATACATCTGTGGGTGGTGTGGACTGTGGAGAGTATCCTAGTCTTCCATGTTGCTGATGTCACTCTTCTCAAGTGAATAGATTTAAATGCAATCCACAAATTGATGGCTCTCAACTTATCATCTCCAAGGAAGTCTTACCCTGAATCTCAAAGTCATATCCAATTGCCTTTCTGACATCTCATTTTCAAGTTAGCTCATAATCTGCCTCATTGTCTTAAATTTACTCCTGCCTCCTGCTTTCTCTGAAATTTTGCATTTCTAAAAATGTATAAAAATGAAATCATGCATTATGTGTACTTTTTTCCATCTCCTCATTCAGCATAATTATTTTCAGATTCATTTATATTATAGCCTTGATTAATGATTTATTCTTTTTTTATTGCTTAGTAATAAGTATGAATGTAACACATCCATTCACTTGTTGCTAGAAATTTGGGTTTTTCCACTTTCTGGCTATTAAAATAAAGTTACAATGAACATTAATGTAGGCATCTTTGTATGAACATAGGCTTATATTGTTCTTGGCTAAACCCTTAAGAATGGAATGATTAGATCATTTTTTCTTCAAAAAAAAAAACCTGCCAAACTTATACAAAATAGTTGTATGATTCAGATTTCTATTACTTAGCTTTGGTAGTTTTTGATTCTAGGAATTTTTTCATTTCATCTATGTTTTCTAATTTGTTGTTATATAATTATTTATTTTATTTCCTCATAACCCTTTTATTTATCTAAGGTCTGTAATAAAGTCCTCACTTTTATTTCCAGTCGTAGTAATTGAATATTTTCTCTCTCTCTCTATTTCTCCCCTTCCTTCTCTCTTTTTGCTCTCTCTACTTTTCTTGGTGAGTCTAACTATAAGTTTGTAAATTCTCCTAATCTTTACAAAGTACAAAGCATTATTTTGTTGATTTTTCTCTACAATTTTCTGTTCTCCAATGTATTTACTTCTACTCTAATCTTTACTATTTCCTTCCTTCTGTTTGCTTTGAGTTTAGTTGGCCTTTCTTTTTTACTTTACGTTTTAAAATTATACTTTAAGTTCAGGGGTACATGTGCAGAATGCGCAGGATTGTTACATAGGTAAACACATGCTATGGTGGTTTGCTGCACCCATTCCCCCCACTGTCATCTACATTAGGTATTTCTCCTAATGTTATCCCTCCCCAATCCCCCTAACCCCTGCTAAGCCTCCCCTATCCCCCCACCCTCTGACAGGCTCCGGTGTGTGATGCTCCCCTCCCTGTGTCCATGTGTTCTCATTGTTCAACACCCACCTATGAGTGAGAACATGTAGTGTTTGGTTTTCTGTTCTTGTGTCAGTTTGCTGAGAATGATGGTTTTCAGCATCATCCATGTCCCTGCAAAGGACATGAACTATTTTTTTTAATGCTGCATAGTATTCCATGGTGTATATGTGTTACATTTTCTTTATCCAGTCTATCCTTGATGGGCATTTGGGTTGGTTCCAAGTCTTTGCTATTTTAAACAGTGCTGCAATAAACATATGTGTGCATGTGTCTTTATAAAAGAAGGACTTACAATCCTTTGGGTATATACCCAGTAATGGGATTGCTGGGTCAAATAGTATTTCTAGTTCTAGGTCCTTGAGGAATCACCACACTGTCTTCCACAATGGTTGAATTAATTTATACTTCCACCAATAGTGTAAAAGCATTCCTATTTGTCCACATCCTCTCCAACATCTGTTGCCTCCTGATTTTTTTAATGACCGCCTTTCCAACTGACATGAGGTAATATCTCAATGCAGTTGGCTGCATAAATGTCTTCTTTTGGAAACTGTCTGTTCATAGCCTTTGGGCAAAGGGTATGATGAGGTTGTTTGTTTTTTTCCTTGTATATTTGTTTAGGTTCTTTGTAGATTCTGGTTATTAGCCCTTTGTCAGATGGGTGGATTGCAA